CATGATTTGAACAATTTAGAATCTACACTATACCAGGATGCTTCCACATAAGTTTCAGCTTTTCTGGCCCAGTGGTTCTTGAGAAGAAGATTTTCAAAGATTTTTTCTATATACACTGTATTTCTATATAAAACTTTGATTCCCCATTGTGGCCCCGCCCTTCCCCCTGGGGTCATGATTTGAACAATTTAGAATCTTCATTATACCAGGATGCTTCCACATAAGTTTCAGCTTTTCTGGCCCAGTGGTTCTTGAGAAGAAGATTTTCAAAGATTTTTACCTATATCTTTCTATGTAAAACTTTGATTCCCCATTGTGGCCCCGCCCTTCCCCCGGGGGTCATGATTTGAACAATTTAGATTCTACACTATACCAGGATGCTTCCACATAAGTTTCAGCTTTTCTGGCCCAGTGGTTCTTGAGAAGAAGATTTTCAAAGATTTTTCCTATATATTTCTATATAAAACTTTGATTCCCCATTGTGGCCCTGCCCTTCCCCCGGGGGTCATGATTTGAACAAGAAGATTGAAGAAGATTTTCAAAGATTTTTTCTATATACATGTATTTCTATATAAAACTTTGATTCCCCATTGTGGCCCCGCCCTTCCCCCTGGGGTCATGATTTGAACAATTTAGAATCTTCATTATACCAGGATGCTTCCACATAAGTTTCAGCTTTTCTGGCCCAGTGGTTCTTGAGAAGAAGATTTTCAAAGATTTTTACCTATATCTTTCTATGTAAAACTAATTGTGGCCCCGCCCTTCCCCCGGGGGTCATGATTTGAACAATTTAGATTCTACACTATACCAGGATGCTTCCACATAAGTTTCAGCTTTTCTGGCCCAGTGGTTCTTGAGAAGAAGATTTTCAAAGATTTTTCCTATATATTTCTATATAAAACTTTGATTCCCCATTGTGGCCCTGCCCTTCCCCCGGGGGTCATGATTTGAACAATTTAGATCACTATACCAGGATGCTTCCACTTGGTTCTTGAGAAGAAGATTTTCAAAGATTTTTCCTATATAAAACTTTGATTCCCCATAGTGGCCCCGCCCTTCCCCCGGGGGTCATGATTTGAACAATTTAGATTCTACACTATACGATGCTTCCACATAAGTTTCAGCTTTTCTGGCCCAGTGGTTCTTGAGAAGAAGATTTTCAAAGATTTTTCCTATATATTTCTATATAAAACTTTGATTCCCCATTGTGGCCCCGCCCTTTCCCCGGGGGTCATGATTTGAACAATTTAGAATCTACACTATACCAGGATTCTTCCACATAAGTTTCAGCTTTACTTGCCCTGTGGTTCTTGAGAAGAAGATTTTTTCATGACCCCACCCTATTTTCGTCTTTTCTTGATTATCTCCCCTTGCAAGGGGATATGTCCCTTCATTTTAACATTTTAGATTCCCCTTCACCCAAGGATGGTTTGTATCAAAATTGGCCCAGTGGTTCTTGAGAAGAAGTCGAAAATGTGAAAAGTTTACAGACCAGACCAGACAGACGGACAGACAGACGGACGGACGACGGACAAAATGTGATCAGAAAAGCTCACTTGAGCCTTCGGCTCAGGTGAGCTAAAAACTGATACACAGAATTATGTATCTTAGTGTATTCTACTTGTGTGCCAAGTTATACTGAAATCAGACCAAAACTGTAGGAGGAGTAGCATTTTGAAAGAATTTCACAGAAATTTCTATTTTTGGTAACCACGGCAACACCATTCATCGAAATCAAAAACCGATACACAGAATTATGTATCTTAGTGTATTGTGTGCCAACTTATACTGAAATCAGATCAAAACTGTAGGAGGAGTAGCATTTTGAAAGAATTTCACAGAAATTTCTTTTTTTGGTAACCACGGCAACACCGTTCATCGAAATCAAAAACCGATACACAGAATTATGTATCTTAGTGTATTCTACTTGTTTGCCAACTTATACTGAAATCAGATCAAAACTGTAGGAGTAGTAGCATTTTGAAAGAATTTCACAGAAATTTCTATTTTTAGTAACCAGGGCAACACCGTTCATCGAAATCAAAAACCGATAAACAGAATTATGTATCTTAGTGTAGTCTACTTGTGTGCCAAGTTATACTGAAATCAGACCAAAACTGTAGGAGGAGTAGCATTTTAAAAGAATTTCACAGAAATTTCTATTTTTAGTAACCACGGCAACACCTTTCATCGAAATCAAAAACCTATACACAGAATTATGTATCTTTGTGTAGTCTACTTGTGTGCCAAGTTATATTGAAATTAGACCAAAACTGTAGAAGGAGTAGCATTTTGAAAAATTGTTTACAGACAGACGGACGGACGCCGGACGCATTACTATCGCATAAGCTCTTCTGGTCTCTGACCAGTAGAGAATGAAAACTGAGGTCAATTTTATGCTCTAGACCTATTTTTCAAGAATTTAGAAAAAAAAAGTCTCCCTTATTATACCATACGTCAGCTTGCCGTAGGCCGGTGAACCTACTTCATGTGTAATAATCCAATATATTGTTACTTTTTCCCTATTTTTATAGACATATATATATATACAGTATTTTATGTTTGTTCTAACTTATGAAATAATAATCAATGCCATTTTCATCCAAATATCTGTGTTATGATTAATTCTAAGTTCCAACAATAATTTATATCCAGGCTTGAGTCCTATGATAGGAACAAGAACATTTTACCACCGCCTGTTCTTCTGCCAGAACCTCTAGATGTGAACTGGCCATCCACTGGATTTCAACAATTGAAGCCAGATCACCAGGGACTTTTACCTAGTGTAACAAGGGACCAAACAGAAGGTATTTTCTTCACCGCCTTGCAGGTTTCATAACTTTGAATATATAATATACATGTACTAAATTCAGAGTAGTATGATCCTATGTTGAAAAAAAATGTTTTTTTTTTATCTATCTTTCATTATACATGTACCCCCACTCCTAAGGAGAGAGGGGTAATAGTTTTTTATCTATCTTTCATTATACATGTACCCCCACTCCTAAGGAGAGAGGGGTAATACTTATACGGTGATATAATCCTTGTGTGTCTGTCTGAGTGTCAGTTGTGTCTGTCCTTAACAAATTTTTCTCAGCGCAACTACTTTATTAAATTGCAGAATTGATGATTGAAATTTTAGTACTCTTTGCTAGGCATGCCATATAGTGGCACTGGATTTATTTTTGTATGCATTTGAAATACAAGAAGGGCAATGTTTGAAACTCTCTGTAAAATTACCCAGACAGTAGAAATGCAGGGCTGATTGCTAGTGAAAGTTTTCAGACCTGTCGAAAATGTACTAGCCCCCCAAAAATGAGCCTTTTCTGAGTTCATTTAAGCAATAATGTGAATGGGTCCATCTCCCTATAAATTTGATCCCATACCTATATGCTGATGAATTCTACCCATTCTCTTGCTACTCTTTGTATGGAAATATTTAAAGTTATTTCAAACAGTTAACACAGAAGAGATGGTAAATTAACATTAGAGCAGGGATATCACTAGTGAGCATTAATGATTTCCTCACAGACTTCTTGTTTTTAATGCAATGAACTTTAGTAATGAAATTAATATGTATTTATTTTTGTTGGTGATAATGACTCGGCAAGAAACATTAAGAATGGTGAATTGCTGTACGATTCCAAGAGAATCCTTGCGTGTTCTGTGCTCATTCAGGCCGACATATTTTTTACGGGAATACTCAGTGCAGCAATGAAAAATAAGGTCAGCTGAACATTTTACATAGACTCAGCAAGAAATTTAATCTATGCCTGTTTTTTTTTTTCAAATCTCTATACTTATCATTTTATTCCAGATAGAAAGTCCATTTTTAATTTGTAATACACGTAATCTTTGTATTTTTATGAATTTGGCAAATACCATGTATGTATTTTTATCAATCAGGTTACATACAACTACAAGCTTCGACTAGAAAAGCAATCTGGAGATATTTTAAGTTCCCACTGCGAATGTCCTGCTGGTAAGGGCCCAAACGGAACGTGTAAGCATCTAGCAGCAGTGATGGTGATGCTGGAGAAGTTCACTGGGTTAGGAGAACTGACTGGCATAGAGAAAACATGGACCGAGAACCTAATGATGTTCAATAAACCAAAGACTTCCCATAAAGGTTTACATTTATATATTGATTTATAGTTATTTTTTGAGCTATTATACCCCTGGTAATCTTCAATATGCTTTTTGAAAAATTATTATAAGATTTGATATTTAACGTGAAGTGGTCACCCATCCAAGGGTTTAACAGGCTCAACATTTCTAAACTTCCCTGAAATAGAGGGATAGTTTACCGCATCACTATAAAAGCTAGCTTACTAGCAAGGCAGTTTAAGTTCCCTATATACTTTCTGCTACAATATTTAGCTTTAGTCTGGGTGTACCTATAACATAAATTACACAGAATATGAATTTGAAGAATGTATTGTGGTTTTACCTATCATTTAAAATATTTCAACTTGACACTTTTTAGGTCGCCTGAGTAAACTCAGGTGACCTATTGCTATCTGTTTTCGTCCGTCGTCGTGCGACGTGCGTCGTCCGTCGTCAATCGTGTGTTAACATTTGAACATTTTCAGCTTCTTCTCTGCAACCACTGAACAAATTTCAACCAAATTTGGCAAAAAGCATCTATGGGTGAAGGGGAACAAAAATTGTGAATTTCATGATCCCTGCCCCCCTGGGGCCTGAGGGGTGGGGCCAAAACCACTAAAATTAATGCAATCTTTAAAAATCTTCTTCTTTACTCCTGGACATCAAGGAGTCAACCTGTTTGCAGGATTGTAATCAGCAATGAGTCTTCTACCGAAATTGTGAAATTCATGACCCTGGGGTCAGGGGTTCTAGTGCTAGGGCGGGGCTAAATAAGTAGGTAGTGAAAATGCATTATTTCTTTGAAATTGAATGGGTTCTTTTAAGGTTTATTGATGATGATATTCTCAGCACTCCACTGAGAATAGACAAAGTAATTAATGAAAATTCGGGAGATGATGGACTGGAAGCAAACCTGCAGTCAGGGGATATGTGTCTGTCCCTATTCAGATGGACACTTGTATAAGGAAAAAAAGCTGTTGAGAACAGGTATAATTTTACATTAGCAGGTCCAGTACGTAACAATCTCATTGTCCAGCATGCATGTTGCTCATATTTTTAAAGAATGTAACATTTTTGAAAGAATTATTTCCGTATTTTTTGTTCACACAATTTCAAACAAAATAATTTTTCTGTAGATGCATGTTGATCGAGTTGATATCATGAGGATCAAATTCAAAGTACTAATCACTAAAATTTTCTAACATACTGAATTTACAGCTGAAAAAGAAAAGGCACTAAAAGAGACAAAACAATTCTAAAGACAGCCAATCCTGAGCGTAGTATGTATAAAATTATATTGATGTTGCCATTAATTTATTAGAAATAACTCTTTTAGATTTGGAAGCATGTCTTTTGCACAAGAACTTAGCAGCAAACATATATCTGGTACTTATTTACATTTTATGTCATAAATTTCCATGTAAGGGGATAACACTGTATAAGATAGTATTCCTCATGATGTATTCATTAAACTTATTCTTGTATACTGATTTTGAAAAAAAAATCAATTCCATGCAGAGAATAAAGTGACGCGCCACGACATGATACGCCCGTCAAAAAATTACCAATTTTCTTGAACAGTTTAGGTGCAAAAAAATTACATCAACCTTGATTTTTAGATTTCAATGATTTTTCCATTCCTTAAAATATTTATCCATCCCCTGTGATGTAGGCATCAATTATAATAAATATTACATCACTGATAGATTTCTGTGCTGGTTGTGTTAGACCTTGTCAAATGCCCATCATCAAATTAGTCTTAACAACTTAATCTATACCAAATTAATTTTGAAAAAAAGGCTGGCCATCAAATGACATATGTTATAAACTGACCAGCAGTTCTTCTGTCTAATCCACAAAGGGCTGCTTAATCAGAGCGACTGAGACAGCTAGCCTTCCTACATTGAACTCATTAATTAATCTTTAACTGGATGCTTGTCTACTCAATACTACCAAGAGATGAATGGGTCTGCACTATCTACTTTAATTTTTTTTTTAAACATATAAAATACTCTCAGATTTTTTTTTGGGTTGAGATTTAATGTCCGACAGGTTCTAGTATGTAATTCATATGGACATGCTGATTCAACCCAACTCTATAAAATTAGTTTTTAAATCAATAATATTACATAATATCAGATTAGTCTATTATGCAATATCAAATTAGTTTTAATTACTTTTCAGCAAATTCATTTCAAAACTTAAGCTAGTCAACAAGAGCTATTTTTAATCAAACAGGCTTACCCATTTGCCCAATTCTCAAGGGATATAGATACCGCCAAGGCTCTGTCAGTTGGCTCCTCGCGCTCAAAACCCATTAATTTCTCTCTAATTTGACATGAAATTTTCTGTTATCAAAATTCTTCTTGACTAGTGCTTGATAATTACACTCATGGGAGACATGGGATTTTTCTAACATACATTATATTTGTTTTAGATTGCTGTCAAGTATATGCTTAAAAAAAATAAGTATTTTCTTGATTTAACACTATTTTAATAACAACAGTGCAATACTCTTACATTATTTGGGATGTGTAAATGAAAAGTAAAAAGACACATTTTTTTACATTCACTTAAAGTAGAGGTCACAGTGACCTTGAAATAGGTCGCGACACACCTTCTACCTAAGATGCATAAACTGGTCAAGTTTGATGATTGTAGGTTTTATGGTTTTCTAGTTATGGGCCGGAAAGGATTTTTCCATATTTGGCTATAACTTCTTAATTAAAGGTCAGAGCGCCCTACTTTTTGTGTGCGACACATCTTCTACCCAAGATGCATCAGGGGACAAAGCTTGATAATCCTAGGTCTAGTAGTATTAAAGTTATGAGCCGGAAACGAAAAAAGCTAACAGACAGACGGACGGACACGAAGCCTATAACATAATACGTCCCGTCTTAAGACGGGCGTATAAAAAAGGAAGAAAAGTGGACCGAAAAGGGTAGTTCGTAACAAAATCTTAGCTACTTTTTGAATTTGTACCAATCATACTTTAAGAAATGAGAAGTCAACTTTAATAAATTTTGAAAAATTCAGGAACATATGCAGGGAGGTAGAAAATTTAAATGAAATAAATTTTTAAAAAGTACAAATTTAAACATTGAAGATATGACAGGGTACAGGGTATCCAGAGATTAAAGGAATTTCTTCAATATTTACATTGTAAAATGTGGTGCATAAATATCTACAATATGCTTTCTTCAATATTTACATTGTACAGTGTGGTGCATAAATATCTACAATATGCCACAATTTTTTTTTTCCAGAGAAAAAATCATCAAAACGAGCAAAAGCAGAGGAGTGCAATGATCAAGAAAATAAAAGAACAAGAAAGGGTATGTACACTTGCATTACTTTAAACAGAATCAAAGGCTCATGTCAGTCTGTCACTGGGTCTGTCTGGACTCTATAACTGTTTATAGTTTATAATAATAAATATAACTGTAATGGTATCAGTGTGTGTTTAACAAGTATGTAAAGTTTACATAGTTCCATTTATAATAGCAGTGTTGTGCCTTTGACTTTTAGATACCCCTTTTTAATGTGGAGAACTGTAAATCACCATATGTTTTATTCATAAATCAAAGGATACTCTTAAAATGAAAATATATCTCTTAGATTCTCCAACTATAAAAATCTGCCCAGTTGCGGAAACATTGCCAGAAACGTTGTATTTCACAAAGGTAAAATAACATATGGTTTGTTATTCTCTTTATTATGTCTTTTGTAGAAATATTAGAGAAGAAAGCGAGGGACAACTCGAGAACAGAAACGCTCTTGCATGCCCAGGACTACATTTTAAAGCATGTGAGGAATTTTGATATTAATACCTCACCTTGTAACCAAGCTACTCCTCCCACCTTGAAACCACCTTCCATCTCATATTCACCTACATCTACTGCACAAACTAACATTGCTCCTCCCTCAACTAACTCTCCACTTATCAGTATTACTATTCCTTCTTACCCACCTGCAACTAGTATTACTTCACCTTCCTTTCCACCTGCAACTCCACCTTCCTTCTCAACTGCAACTAGTGCGACTCCACCTTCCTTTCTACCTGCAACTCCACCTTCCTTATCACCTGCAACTAGTATTACTCCAATTTCCCTTCCACCTGCAACTAGTGCAACTCCATCTTCCTTTTCACCTGCAACTCCACCTTCCTTCCCATTTGTAGCTAATTCAACTTCTCAACCAGAAACTTTTATTGTACAACCTCTTTCTTCTTCGTTATCCATAGACCAACCTGTAGATCAGTCGCCTGCTCCCATTTCCTGTTCATTTACAGCATCCTAACCACCTACACCTAATACTGCTAAATTACCTCCTTCCAGTCCTATCCATCTACATTTAACCCCATTCATTCTCAGTCTTTTGACTTGCCCTCAACTTCCTATCAGTCTCCATTCCCTTGTCTAACGACTTCTCTTCTCGGCATACTACCGGTAACACATCAGATGTTCTGGGAAGATCGTTGATAATGATTGCTGTGAGTGCTCTGTAAAAGTTCAGATAGAAAGTCTGAAGCAAGCTCTCAACCAGAGCACCAAAGATAATGGAGAGCTTTTGTTAAGGGTGCAAGAGTTGGAGAGGGAGAGGGAAAAGCCTGGCTCAAGTAATTATCGAAAGAATATTTCTATGATCTTCGAGTTTGGCTCCACACTTCATTCATCTTATTGTAATCCATGCAACATACATTAGGCATATTCATGTATTTTATGTACAGTAGTATATTATTAGATTTTATGCTACAAAAATTGAGGTTGAGATATTTTTGTCCCCCGCTTTCGCGAAAGCGAGGGGACATTAAATCTCATTCGTCTGTCTGTCCGTCCGTCAGTCTGTCCGTCACAAAAACTTTAACCTTGCCCATAACTTTTGATTTAGTGGAGCTATGACTTTCATATTTCACGAGTGTATTCCTTGTGACAAGACCTTTCTTTGGGCATCACCAAATTTGACCTTTTGACCTTGGAGTTTGACCCACATTTACACAAAAATTTCAAACTTTTACTTTGGCCATAACTTTTGAAAAGTAGGTTCTAGGACTTTCATATTTCACATATGTATTGTTTGTGGCAAAACCTTTCATTGGATAACAACAATCTTGACCTTATGACCTTGACCTTGGAGATTTGCATACTTATGAAAAAACTTTAACCTTGACCATAACTTTTGAACGGTGAGGACTAAGGCTTTCTTACTTCACATATGTAATCCCTGTGAGAAGACCTTTCATTTGATACCAATAACTTTTACCCTTTGACCTTGACCTTGGAGTTTTAATTACTTTTTAAAAACTTTAACCTTGGTCACATCTTTTAAACAGTAGATAGTCGGACTTTTATATTTCACATATGTATTTCTTGTGGCAAGACATTTCATTGAATATCAACAATCTTGACCTCTAGACCTTGACCATGGAGATTTACCTACTTATGGAAAATCTTTCACCTTGACAATAACTTTTGAACGGTGAGGGCTAGGGCTTTCGTACTTCACTTATGTTTTCCTTTTGAGAAGATCTTTCATTGGATACCAACAACTTTTACCCTTTGACCTTGACATTGGAGTTTTAACTACTTTTTAAAAAAACTTTAACTTTGGTCACAACTTTTGAACGGTAAATACTAGGACTATTATATTTCAAATTTGTATTCTTTGTGGCAAGTCTTTTCATTGGATATCAACAAATTTGATCTTTTGACCTTGACCATAAAGATTTACGTACTTATGAGAAAACTTTAACCTTGACCATAAATTTTGAACAGTAAGGGCTAGGGCTTTCATACTTCACATATTTTATCCTTGTGAGAAAACCTTTCATTGGATATCAACAATTTTGACCCTTTGATCTTGACCTTGGAGTTGACCTACTTTTAAAAAACTTTTTACTTTGGCCATGAGTTTTTAACGGTCAGGATTAGGGTTTTCATCCTTAAAAAAAAATCAACTTCAATGTTACTTTCTAAATAGATGACATATGATAGGATGTTCATATTACACACAATATGTCATAAAAGATAACATCTCACCCACAAAGACACCGAAAGCGGGGGACCACAATTCTTTGAATTTGCTTGTTGACCTCAATTCCTATGAAAGGAAACTTGTTTCAGAACAAAACTTCAATAACAAATTCTTGTTGAAAATTTTATATATTGTAAATGTGAAAAAAAACTTGTCTGATTCCATTACTTTAGTTTTTGGTTATCATTTTGAAATGTGAATGATCAAGCGCGATTATAAGATTCATTTTTTTACAGTTATTAAAAGATTTTTAAATTTTATAGCACAAGAAGAAAAGGACAGTGAAGTGAGGGATCACTATACCTCCAAAAGAGGAATCATTGTTGATTGGTCAGACTATGTAGCTAGGCAGTTAAGTGATTGTGGGTGGGATCAATGTGGTATGTTGCCTTGATTTAAAGATTTACTGTTTGTGGTGCCCTTGTTGATAAATTTTCTTAAATTTAAAGTGTAAATAAATCTGGTTTAAATGAATTCTAATGCAATTGAGTTATCTTTTGAACAGCTACTTGTTGATATTGGAAAGGAGGCCCCTTCTTATTATAAAAGATTGGCTGAGGAGGGGGAAGTTGTTGTGCCCAGACAGTGGTGAAGTGGAATTTTGGGGAAGTGCAAAGGAAAAGGGAAATCCTGTACAATCAAGAAATTTATAGATGGGTGTTTTGAGCCGGAAGATTTGGTCGGCAAAACTTCCGTAACTTTGGTTCCAAAGAACAAAGTAGCCCATTCCCTGAAAAGTAAGCAAAAATTACTTTAAAGTTACAAAACTTTCAGTTTACCATTCTTACAGTTTCTTCAGTATTATTTGTATGAAATGTACATGTACACACGTAAGAATTAAATGGTATTGCTTATTTTTTTAAAAATAAATATTAAAATAGGTTTACAAAGATTGCAGTTTTAACATACTAGTATCCTTCTCATGATCTTTTTTAGTGTATGCCATAAAAAAAATTAGGGGTGAGAGAGGCTGACTTTAATGTGGCGTTCAATTCAAAAGCGGAAACGGCAAAGAGAGCTATTCAATTTCGCAGACGGGACATTCCAGGAAATTCATCATCTAATGTTTAAATAATTTTGATTTTTGAAATACTCTTTTATTTATCCATAGATGATTGTAAATGTATTATTCAGCATGTCTTTATGACAGTCTGAATTTTAACATCCTCATAACATTGCTAAAATTTAATTTTTGAATCAGTGATCAGTTGAATCACAAATAGATGTCTATTTAAAATGTTGTGAAATGTTATTGGTGATTTTTTTAAGCATCAAGGGTTGTGAATTTTATTAATATATTCGATCAATTCATACTATTAATGCAAGATATATTACTGTATTCAGCGGCAGCTCACACAAATTGGTCCGACCAAAATAGTTCCATCATGATTAAGTAGATACAACATTATTGTTCATGATAAGAGTAAGTTGTGTATTTCATACGTTAAAGAAATCAAAAATAACGTCAAAATATTATTAGAAAATCACTTTCCTCCCGAAATGCAAATAAAAAAAAATCAATATTCCTACGCTCGCTCCCTCCTCAGCCTTTTTTTTTTTTTTACATGTTTGATAATAGAGAATATTTAGGTCATTCTTCGATTCATATTTTTTCACCGATGAATTGATAATACTATATCAACAATAGTATTAAGTACATGTTTATAGTCTGTTAATTATCATACAATTTCCTTTTAAGAAAAAAATAATCATTGTGTGTGTGTATTATTTTCAATCCCTGGCTAGATTCTGCTCACGTGTGTACACTTTGTAAACTGTAGGGCATAAAATGTGTAGCAAAAGGAGAACTGGGTCGGACATTCGGGTTCGTGTTGAAGTTCGGCATAGGCTTACCATTTTATATAGAACTTGAATAATGTAAGTAATTTCTGCGACGAATACATTAGTATATTTCAGTAATTTTCAAAACAAAAAAGGTTTTCAGTTTAGAATTTTCCGATCCGGTCTTGATTTTCCTAACACGGCCATTTTAAACACAAGTTGTTGCAGATGCAAATGTTAGAACAAATAATATATAGTTCAACAGGGATTGTATAATTTTTATTAATTAGAATTCGTATTCATATGATCTAATTAAGAAAAGAAAAGTTTTGTCTGCCATCGTAACTTCTCGGCAAAACAAAACGTGTTTCTCCGAGCTCTCTGGATGCGTTTAACAGCTCCATCGCACGTGTGTAGATCAAGGCTAATGTCTTGCGGACACAGGTTCATGTAGGCCTATGTGTACCGTTTGTTAGGAGACTGGGTGACCTCACGAAATTTACACTAGTTCCAGAACTTGACATTATTTTTTTTTATTAACGTCATTATAAACACTGATAAGCATATTAAATCTAAAAGTCGAATATCTTTGGATATGGGGTAACCCATATCTATTCTTGTTTTTAGTCTGTTTTGTGTATTCATTTTGCAGTAGGACCAATTTAAATTTATGTTATACTTAGTGATTTTCTATGCACCAAAGGTTGTGCTGTTTTGTGTATTCATTTTGCAGAAGGACCAATTTAAATTTATGTTATACTTAGTGATTTTTTATGCATAGAAGGCTGTGAATTTTATTTTTAGTCTGTCTGGTGTTTGATATATAAATATTGTTTATCAAATACTCCACATACAATTTTTGTAGTGCTGTTCCAATCATTTTTTAAGCATTGATATATATACAATGTATTTTTTAAAAGTGCTTTTCTAGTAGTTGTAATACATTGATTTATAGTTGCTGTAATATACCTTTTGATTTTAAATTTTCATATAAAATACTTTTTTATTTTAAAAATGCTTTAGTGTTTTCTTTTATAATTCACTATGTTTAGCTATTAATATGAACATTTATAATTAATTATAATTTATATAATGTTTACATGGCATTGTGAGCCAGTAATGCGCCACAAAAGTGTGCCACAAACTTGCAGTAGGCATTTGCCAGAAATGCCCCACAAGTAAGTGCCACAAACTTGCAGCTACATGTAACTGTACTGTACAATCATAAGAACTGTTTGCCGCAAATGTGCCAGAAATTTGCCGCAAACTGTGTGCCAGAAAAATATTTGAATACGAAAAATCTATTTGAAAGGTTGCGGCAAACTTGCAGCAACTATGTGCCAGAAGGCTTTTATTTTGGTAAGGGCTATTATTGAAATACAATTGTTGCCATAATTAATACTTGTTAATCTGCAGTTATTAAAATTCTTGGTTTAATAAGTCATTTTCGTGTCTTTTCGAAATACAAAAGGTTTAATGGTTAA